AATAACCTTTATATCTAGGATGTATCTTTGTTAGCTCAGTATTAGTTTGAACTACATGTTATCATTTAATTTTTGTTCTTCTAAGTGAAGTTTATTTTGTACATTTCTGTTCAAGTAAATAAAGTAATAACCTTTATATCTAGGATGTATCTTTGTTAGCTCAGTATTTCTTTATTACAGCTTTGTCAGGAGCTATCAGTATTAGAAAATTTCAATAATCCGGTTGCTATAATAGAAATATCTCGTAATAAACTCAAGTTGTTGTTAAACAAAGTTAAAAAAAATAATAGTTAATTTTTACAACTTGGCTGAAAATGTTAGACTAAGTACATAAATTAATTAATTTTAAACACATTATGCTGTTTGCTTTTTTTTTATTTTTAATTTTAACATGTAAGGACACTTTTGAATGTAGTAGTTTTTTTGACTGTCTGTTTTACCATCAGTCATTGCTGACAAGGTTTCTACTGAATTTTTGAGCTTTGGCTACAAAAGCTTAACTACAGTGAAATTTATGAAAAACAACTATAGTGCACATGAAATATATTTTACTTAGATTCCAAAATAAATAAAATCCATTGATTTTTAAGTGATTTATATTAACAAAATGTTCCTAAACAGTATCTTGTAACATTTTAACTGTAGAAAAATAAAACTTCACAAAATTTCCATTGATCATATTTGGTGGACATTTAAAAAAAAATGTTTATTTGATGACTAGTATCTAATATTTTTAATGACATTAAGGAGTAATACAGTTAGATAATTTTTTGAAACCTACTTTTTTATCATATTCTATAAAACATAACATCTGTTAAGATGATGATTTCTTGGTTTTATGCATGAGTATATATACATGTAAAAATAATGCAATAAAAATATCAACTCCCTATTCATGGTACCAGGTTTTTACTATTTTGTAACAGATGTTCAAGACAGAAGCTGTCGTCTTTTTGCCCTTCGAGATCTTCTAAAAAGGATACCAAGAGCAAATTTTGAAGTTCTAAAGTTTGTCTTTCAACATTTTGTTAGGTAATTTCTGTATTTTGTATGGATGGAAAAACAATTTGGTACTAGGAAGATAAATAATATTTCTACTTTAAATCTTACTGAATTTTTCTGATTGAAAAGTTACATTATCATTCCTTCAGTTATTTGTTTTAAGAACTTTGTTATTAAGTTTTGAATTAATAGTTTGACTTCGTAAGGTTGGGAAGGTAAATAAGTCATCTTGAGATTTTGGGTGTTGCTTTTTTGCCATCTCTAAAGCAAGCTTGGTTTTAATTATTGTTTAAAGTGTCATGAATGTTTTTTTTGCATAAGTGCTTTTACTTGAGTAAAAAAAAATTCTGTAGTAACAGTTTCTACTCATGTAGATAGTAACTTCCAGGTTTTAGTGGACTTTTTCATATATTTGAAAATTTATATATTTATTAGGGTTGCTGAGAATTGCAGATTGAACAGTATGGACAGTAAAAACCTGGCAATCTGCTGGTGGCCCACACTCTTGCCTCTAGAGTTTAATGACATGGGGATGTTTGAACGGATGAGGCCACACTTAGAGGACTCGGTGCAGACAATGATAGATCAGTTTCGTTTTTTGTTTTGTGGAGAGGAGGAGGTAGTGATGGTGTGACAGTAGTAACTGTCAGTCCTACTCCCTACCCTTTATTTCACACCTATATTGTCACTTGCTTGGAAAAACCTGTCAAGAGTTTATTGCATGCAAGGCGTGAAGTTGGAATGCTCCACAATCACTCTTGTCAATTCCTCAGAAGAAAGTGTTGTGATTTAGCTTGTTGAGGTGCTGAAAGAATCACTTGAGAGCTTTTTCAAAACATGTTAAGTAGACTGTATGAATGCAAATATCTGAGTACAGGAAACAAGCTTGTCATGTCGGAATAAAGAATGAAATGGTCATATCAGTACGAAGTGTTCTTTCTTTGAAAGAAAAAATCTCAAGCAGCTTGTAATTTTTACCATGGCTGCTGTGATGGTGCCTGGTATAGAACATTGTCTCTCTCTGTCATCAACAAAGGACGAGGTTCACTGACTTTTTGCCATCAAACTGTGTACTTCCATCAATACAGTAGTGTAACAATCAAGCTGTATTTTGCTGCAAACTTGCAACCTTTATTTTTGTTAAAATAGCACCAATACTTAAGTAATCATTGGTTGCCCAAATATTTAAAAAACGTCTGCATGGACATTTTAATTTTTTTTTTTTTCTTTCATGTAAGATCTAATTGTAAATGAACAAACACGAGACAGCATCGTAGTTAACACATGGCATGTAGTTTTCTTGGGTAAATTCCCAAGTGTGAAGTGCAGTGTAGGAAATCGTCTGTATATTACTTTCTAGTTTTGTGTAGAGATATGTAATGGACAGTTAATTGTGTACAAACAGGCCTAGCTTCATAATTAGTATGTTTTTTTTTGTTCTTGTCTTGTTCATTTGTATAATGCTCATGTTGTCTGAGAAAAGTATTAAATAGCTCAGCTAGTTTCCATGACAAGTTCCTCTTAAGTGTAAATAGTTAGATTTATCTTTTGTTGTTGAGTTCACCAGCTACTTGGTGAACCAAACAAAGTTAATTTTTTTACCAACTTATGAACTTGGATTTTTTTTAACAATATGATTAGATAATAAAGTTATGTAGTTATTGTATAATTATCAGAATCTCTTGTTTTCTTTAATTATAAGCTAGATGTGATATGAGAATTGAAAGTATTAGTCAAAAGGTAAAATATTTTGGTGGTGTTTGTACCTCAGTGAATTTTCTATGTAATTGTGTCTTCTGTTTAATGGTTTTGACCACCTGACAAAGTGTGTTATATAAAAAGACTAAAATTACGTAGTAGATGGTGTTCTATCTATAAGATATTGATTTTTTTTATGGTTAAAATTTATAATATCAAGACAGTCATTAAACATTTATTTTTTTTAGTCAAATTTAAAAGTGAGACAGTTGATATTTTTAAGAGTAAAAAGATAAAATATTAAACTAGCATTACCTAAATATTAAAAACGAAGTCAGCTTGCCATGCTGGTTAAATGGTCTTTTAAGTGTATTCTAATTTTTTTAAAGTTTTTTAACCACTGAAATTTCAAAAATATTTTAGCTTTTGTTTATGCAAGCTCAGCTATAACACTTATCCTCACATAAAATGAATACATACTGTTGTATGAGTTGATGCTCAGTTCCTTCGTCCAGTTTTTGTGCATACTCTCCAAGGCCTGGCACCAGCATTGAGTTTTAGGGAACCTTCCAGTGTTGTATTTTAATAACCTCTGGAATGGTTACTTCATTTTTGTTGTACATTTAAGTCAGTTGTGATATTGATGTAAATTTCAGTTGTGTACAGACTGATGGTAATATGTCTTTATTGTATTCTGGCCAAACCCATGGATATCCTTGTAGCTCTGTATTCTACTCAACATTGTAATGATTATGACATGAATCTGTAGTACCAGTCTGTTCCAGCAGATTTTGCTTACTACAGGCCATTCTAATAAAGATGGCTGTCAATAGTATTACTGGAATCTTCATTTAATATATCTCTATTAGTAATTTCTCTCACTCGGTAAGTTCACATATCAACAAAAATTAAACCTTCAAATATTCTGATAAACTAAACTGTATTATACTTGACTTTCAGTTGAATAAAGCACATTTGAGTTGTTACTACAACATAGTTTTACTTCGAAGAACCAACACCTGAATTATCAAGCTGTTGTTGAAACAGGTGTATTTCCATGCTATCAGCCAGTTTCTTTTAGTGTAGAAGATTGGTCAAAGCTGATGTGAAACGTCATCTCTAGCTGCTTTGGGCAGAAACATTGTTCTAATTGGACTGTCCAACCTTCTGCAACACAAATAAGCTTCAAACATAGAAGAAATATTGTACAGTCCAGTAATAATGGGAA